GGGAGCCCGATGCGGGACTCGATCCCGGGACTCCAGGATCATGACCTGAGCCGAAGGCAGTCGCTTAACCGACTGAGCCACCCAGGTGCCCCAGAGCCATATATTTTAAAGGCTATTCATTTGCAAATAGAATCAGGAATAAATTACGACAGGCAGAACCCAGGATCCTTGCATAGTTAAACGCTGTTGCTTATTTTTGCTATTTCTTTGATGTCCTCTGTTAGAAAATGGGTAGTTAAGCCACATGGTGATTTGACTACCTAGCTAATGAAGAAATTGATCAACATTCACTTTTGTCAAAACCTACGGATGAGGAGGCAAAACTACCAAAGGAACACCTGCAGATATTAAGCAAGTTTTTTTTTCTTTGTGACTTTAAATGAAAAACTTAAGGCTGCAGCATAAATGTCAAAGCTGGTGTGTAGAGAAGGGGTTAAAGCTTGCGAGCTACACTTCCTTAAAGCCTCTTAATTACCATGTCCACACTGTTTCTCAATTCAGCCACTGCAAAGAGCGGCAGTCTTAATTTACCAACAAGCAAGGCACCAAACCCTCCCTCCTTACCTTGTTTTAAATATAAACGTGTATCTGGTCACTTTTTAACTGAATTCTGCATACTTCAGAATACAATTTGAATTAGAAATTCAAGAAAAAAAATTTTTTTGGTTTTCAATGAAATATATACTAGCACCAAATTAAACAAACAAAAAAAAACATAGTTAATATTTCTTACTCTAAAGATGATCTAATCTATCTGAAAGCATGGACGTCATGCTTTGAGTGTGCTTTTATTATAACCTGCATTTTGAAACAGGAAAAGTACAAACAAAAAGGACAGTTAGCAAGCCACCGAAGTCATAAATAGATTTTTTTGAAGAAATGTCATTACCTCTTGCAGTAAAAGATGCTATACACTTTTTACTACTCCTATTTCACCAATGACACAACACACAAATTATCGTACTGAAATAACCACACACCACTCCAGCAAACATACCTTTAAAAGATACACAGTTACACGGCGTGCAAATTGTTACAGGAGGCAAGATGGCGGCTACAGGAAACCAAGTGGAAGGTTACAAAACTTTGAAGAGCAGAAGTGGTTTTGAAGTAATAAGTGAGAAACAAAAAAAATAACCTAACCTCCTCAAGATAACCACTAGAAGAAGCAAGAAAGTGCCGCTGTGCTGCGAGTGAGGAAGTGAGTACAGCGAGGACCATAGCCTCACACAAAGGAAGTGAACACTCAACTTCTGGTTTTACAAATCATCTCATTTAAGTGAGGTTTAGCCCACCTAACATATGTCTGGCATTTACTCCTCAAATAATACAACACATAATGCACACTCAACAGTAGGTGTTAATATAAAAATACAAGCTACCTTCAACTTAAAAGGGGGAGTGTGCTTCAAAAATGAAGGTCGGGATGCCTGGGTGGCTCAGTGGATTAAGCATCTGCCTTCGGCTCAGGTCATGATCCCAGGGTTCTGGGATGGAGTCCCACATCGGGCTTCTTGCTCAGCAGGGAGTCTGCTTCTCCCTCTGCCTGCCGCTCCCCCTGCTT